ACAAGGTTAGTAAAAAGTAAAGTGTGGATAGGGACATTTATGAAGCAGTAAATGTCTTACGCTAAACTAACAGAATAATATTTTACGTTCAGTTACACAAAGCCTAGCATCCTACAGGGTGCTGAATCTGTTGTTTTATATTTCAAGACTTCAAATACATCTGTAATTTGTGCAAAAGAGGTTTCAGCTCCTAGAAAGTCCCCTCAAACACGCAACACATATAAAATATTTAATTAACAACTTATTGAATAAATAAAAAAACTCCAGTACAAATACTGCAAACTACATGAAGGCTTTTGTGTCCTTGATGAAACAACACATTCACGTGGATGCAATATGAAGTACAAAAACTGAAATAATTTCTTTTTAAGCCAGAAGTTAGGATCTGCTAGGACATAGAGTGCTTTGTGCTTCCACTCCTGAGTGTTTTTACATTTGACTATGAAAAGTAATGCCTGAAGTGTTATGTACAGAAGAATAAATTTAAGTTCATTTGAGTGTGCGAGGAGGAGCATTTTTTTCAGAGACGCAGCATTCAAACTGAGTTGGATTACGACTTATTCGACATCCGATTTGAACAAGGGTCACTGATAGGAATGTAGAATTAGGCGGTTCTTGCGAATAACGAAACAGACTATAAGAATGCATACCAATACAGCAAGTATGAGGCCTGTTCCCAAGATCAGCAACAATGCTTGCGGACTGAGAACTCGCAAGCCGCCTCTGGAGGACTCAGTTGTTCCTTTTGCATTAAAACTAACCGGCAGACTGAGGGGATGTCTGTTGAGACTGGCATGTCGTCGGCTGAAATCGCGCAAGTGATCGGGCCCATGCGAGACGTCTGCTGTTGCGGTTTTAAACTCCCGGGCTGAAAAGTCCGGATTTATTTGAAGACAGGCATCAGAAAACAGTTGACGCTGTTTACCTCCATCTAAAACGCGGATAAAGACCGCAGTTTTCACAGTGCTCTTCAAAAGCTTCTCTTCCACCCAGATTCGGCCGTCATCGAAGACTGAAATATCTGTAGCGCTGAGGAATACCATGTCTGCTGCCACAGGCGGGTGATAGGGGGGGTTGTCGAGTACAGTAAAACGTGTTGTCCGGTTTTCACCGAGATCTGGATCGAAAGCTCGCAGCTGAGTCCAGAAGCCGGACGTTGTCTCCGTGCTGTAGTACCAAGGCATGCGATCTAACAAAGTCACATCGTCCTCCTTATCTTTCGCGATCAGCATCTCCGAAAGGGGATCCACGAACAAAGGCTGGTTATCATTCACGTCCAGCAGCCGCACTGCTACCTCATGTAGCCCCGTTAAGCGGAAGGGTGTGCCTATATCGGAAAGCTTGATTACCAATACGAAACCGTCAATTACCTCTCGGTCCAGGAGAGGATAATCTGCCGCTTGGACAGAGAGTTCGCCAGAATAAGTGGCTAATCTAAAGCGAGGTAGACGGGGTGGGGAGCTCTGAAAGATATTTCCAGTTAGGCGGATGTCGCGCAGCTCATAGAGAACAGTCCCGTTGGCCCCA